GAAAGAAGTGAGTGGGAGGAAAGTAGAACTTGACGAGGTAACTATACCTACTCCCTTATTGGAAAGTAGTACATCACAAAAACCTGTTTCTGTGACACCTACACCACTTAGTGAGGAAGCTAATGATGATGATCATGAAACTTCAGAACAAGATACTAGTGAACCTCGTAGATCAACCAGAGTGAGATCCGCGCCAGAGTGGTATGGTAATCCTGTTCTGGAAGTCATGCTACTAGATCATGATGAACCTACGAACTATGAAGAAGTGATGGTGAGCCCAGATTCCGTAAAATGGCTTGAAGCCATGAAATCTGAGATGGGATCCATGTATGAGAACAAAGTATGGACTTTGGTTGACTTGCCCGATGATCGTCAAGCAATTGAGAATAAATGGATCTTCAAGAAGAAGACTGACGCTGACGGTAATATTACTGTCTACAAAGCTCGACTTGTCGCAAAAGGTTTTCAGCAAGTTCAAGGGATTGACTATGATGAGACCTTCTCACCCGTAGCGATGCTTAAGTCTGTCCGAATCATGTTAGCAATTGTCGCATTTTATGATTATGAAATTTGGCAGATGGATGTCAAAACTGCATTCCTGAATGGATTTCTGGAAGAAGAGTTGTATATGATGCAACCAGAAGGTTTTGTCGATCCAAAGGGAGCTAACAAAGTGTGCAAGCTCCAGTGATCCATTTATGGACTGGTGCAAGCCTCTCGGAGTTGGAATAAACGCTTTGATAGTATCATCAAAGCATTTGGTTTTATACAGACTTTTGGAGAAGCCTGTATTTACAAGAAAGTGAGTGGGAGCTCTGTAGCATTTCTGATATATATGTGGATGACATATTACTAATTGGAAATGATATAGAATTTCTGGATAGCATAAAGGGATACTTGAATAAGAGTTTTTCAATGAAAGACCTCGGTGAAGCTGCTTACATATTAGGCATTAAGATCTATAGAGATAGATCAAGACGCTTAATTGGACTTTCACAAAGCACATACCTTGACAAAGTTTTGAAGAATTTCAAAATGGATCAAGCAAAGAAAGGGTTCTTGCATGTGTTACAAGGTGTGAAGTTGAGTAAGACTCAATGCCCGACCACTGCAGAAGATAGAGAGAAAATGAAAGATGTTCCCTATGCTTCAGCCATAGGCTCTATCATGTATGCAATGCTGTGTACCAGACCTGATGTGTGCCTTGCTATAAGTCTAGCAGGGAGGTACCAAAGTGATCCAGGAGTGGATCACTGGACAGCGGTCAAGAACATCCTGAAATACCTGAAAAGGACTAAGGATATGTTTCTCATATATGGAGGTGACAAAGAGCTCATCGTAAAAGGTTACGTTGATGCAAACTTTGACACTGATCCGGACGATTCTAACTCGCAAACCGGATACGTGTTTACATTAAACGGTGGAGCTGTCAGTTGGTGCAGTTCTAAACAAAGCGTTGTAGCGGGATCTACATGTGAAGCGGAGTACATAGCTGCTTCGGAAGCAGCAAATGAAGGAGTCTGGATGAAGGAGTTCATATCCGATCTAGGTGTCATACCTAGTGCATCGGGTCCAATGAAAATCTTTTGTGACAATACTGGTGCAATTGCCTTGGCAAAGGAATCCAGATTTCATAAGAGAACCAAGCACATCAAGAGACGCTTCAATTCCATCCGGGATCTAGTCCAGGTGGGAGACATAGAGATTTGCAAGATACATACGGATCTGAATGTTGCAGACCCATTGACTAAGCCTCTTCCACGAGCAAAACATGATCAGCACCAAGGCTCCATGGGTGTTAGAATCATTACTGTGTAATCTAGATTATTGACTCTAGTGCAAGTGGGAGACTGAAGGAAATATGCCCTAGAGGCAATAATAAAGTTATTATTTATTTCCTTATATCATGATAAATGTTTATTATTCATGCTAGAATTGTATTAACCGGAAACATAATACATGTGTGAATACATAGACAAACAGAGTGTCACTAGCATGCCTCTACTTGACTAGCTCGTTAATCAAAGATGATTATGTTTCCTAACCATGAACAAAGAGTTGTTATTTGATTAACGGGATCACATCATTAGGTGAATGATCTGATTGACATGACCCATTCCATTAGCTTAGCACCCGATCGTTTAGTATGTTGCTATTGCTTTCTTCATGACTTATACATGTTCTTGTGACTATGAGATTATGCAACTCCCGTTTGCCGGAGGAACACTTTGTGTGCTACCAAACGTCACAACGTAAATGGGTGATTATAAAGGTGCTCTACAGGTGTCTCCAAAGGTACATGTTGGGTTGGCGTATTTCGAGATTAGGATTTGTCACTCCGATTGTCGGAGAGGTATCTCTGGGCCCTCTCGGTAATGCACATCACATAAGCCTTGCAAGCATTGCAACTAATAAGTTAGTTGCGAAATGATGTATTACGGAACGAGTAAAGAGACTTGCCGGTAACGAGATTGAACTAGGTATTGAGATACCGACGATCGAATCTCGGGCAAGTAACATACCGATGATAAAGGGAACAACGTATGTTGTTATGCGGTCTGACCGATAAAGATCTTCGTAGAATATGCAGGAACCAATATGAGCATCCAGGTTCCGCTATTGGTTATTGACCGGAGACGTGTCTCGGTCATGTCTACATTGTTCTCGAACCGTAGGGTCCGCACACTTAACGTTACGATGACAGTTTCATTATGAGTTTATGTATTTTGATGTACCGAAGGTTGTTCGGAGTCCCGGATGTGATCATGGACATGACGAGGAGTCTCGAAATGGTCGAGACAAAAAGATCGATATATTGGAAGCCTATATTTGGATATCGGAATCGTTCCGGGTGAAATCGGGATTTTACCGGAGTACCGGGGGGGTTACCGGAACCCCCAGGGGGTTATTGGGCCTACATGGGCCTTAAGGGAGAAGAAGAAAGGAGGCAAGAGGTGGCCGCGCGCCCCTCCCCTTCCTAGTCCGAATAGGACAAGGGAAGGGGGGCGGCGCGCCCCCTCTTTCCTTTCCCTTTTCCTCCTCTTTCCCCTTCTCCTTATCCAACTAGGAAAGAAGGGAGTCCTACTCCCGGTGGGAGTAGGACTCCCCCTTGGTGCGCCCTCCTTGGCCGGCCGCCCCCTCCCCTTGGCTCCTTTATATACGGGGGCAGGGGGCACCCTAGGACACACAAGTTGATCTTCGTGATCGTTCCTTAGCCATGTGCGATGCCCCCTCCACGATATTACACCTCGGTCATATTGTAGCGGTGCTTAGGCGAAGCCCTACGACGGTTGAACATCAAGATCGTCACCACGCCGTCGTGCTGACGGAACTCTTCCCCGAAGCTTTGCTGGATCGGAGCCCGGGGAGCGTCATCGAGCTGAACGTGTGCCAAGAACTCGGAGGTGCCGGAGTAACGGTGCTTGGATCGGTTGAACCGGGAAGACGTACGACTACTTCCTCTACGTTGCGTCAACGCTTCCGCTTCGGTCTACGAGGGTACGTAGACAACACTCTCCCCTCTCGTTGCTATGCATCACTATGATCTTGCGTGTGCCTAGGAATTTTTTTGAAATTACTACGTTACCCAACAAAAGCTGCTACATTTGATAAAAACATCTCATCGACCATGTCTGTCTCCACAACATCCACATTTACCAATGCAAATCTGCTACCTTTATGCTTGGAATATGTTTCTGAAACTACCACAGGCACATCATCTACCACAGGCACATCATCTACTCTGTTTTGTAACTGCTTTACTGCTTGTTCACACAACTGCACTTCCTCCACATAGATCTCTGCACATGACCCAATAGGTGTTGCATTCCCCATCTTCTCCACACTTGAATCATCAAAAATAAATTGCAAACCCTCACTCAGTTTTTTCCCTGGAACAAGCCAGTGCATCTTGTAACTATAATCCCCCCTACAATGTCCTCTTTGTACATGATATATGTCCTGAGCATAAGACAACAAAAGCTCAAACTTTAGGCTTTTCCTATCGAACGGAAAAGTAATCATCAGACCTCCGTTGTATACAAGCAATCCATCCACTGTCTCAAATTTGCCAAAATAATGTAGTGACACATAACTTATTTCTTCTTCATCTGCTGCCTCATCGAGAAGACCTGCCCAAAAAAACAATCTTTACCTCATTACATAGCTCATGACCTACCCATAAAAACAATCTTCCTATGATCTATCCTACACCTCCACGATCTGCCTGCCATGGCAGCAAAATTGGGTGCAGTAGATGACTTCTAAGCGCAGCTCTGATTTCTCCTAAACTAAGATCATGCAGTAGATGACTTCGACGGGAAAGAAAGGGGGGCGGTTGACTCACCATCGGGCGGCGTGGAGGCCGGCGGCATGGCGGACGCCATTGCGGCGTGGGCGGACGCCGCCGGCGTGCTTGACGCCGTCGCGGCAAGGTTGGGCGTCGTCGTCCAGGCACAGGGAGGTTGGTCGATGCACAGGGACCGAAGTCACCTGAATTGGGGGCTGATTGGTCGACCGGCTCCCCCAATCGATGAAAACACCTGAAATCTGCCAAGTCAGCACTGTCCAGTCAGCAAGGAGACTAGTCAAAACCATCTAAATCTGGTGCAAAACCACCATGGAGGAGAATTGATCCGGTTTAAAAAAGTTTAGGGGCTGATTGATCAGGTTTTAGACTTTGGGGCGAAATCGGTCCATTAGACAGGATTTAAGGGGGAAAACGATACTTTCCTCAAGGTGAATTGGCCGGAAGAGACCGGCCCAACGAAATTCCCGATGCGAACCTCTTGTCCCTATCGTGACGAACGAGAAAGGAGGAGACGAGAAGCAGCGAAACTTCGTCCAAGTTTCGATTTTTTCGAAGTTTCCAAGGCCGCGCGGCCTCGCCGTTCCCCCCCGGACCCCTACTTCACCATGGACGCGGCGGTGCCTCCGCCCCTCCCACCGCGCCACTCCCACCTTCGGGACCACCGGCAAGCACAGCCTCCCCGACCCCCGACATGGCTCCACCGTCCGCGGCCGGCGCGGCCGGCGCGGCGGCGAGATGGCTGGTGTCGCCGCTGCTGCAGTGCCTGGGCGATCGGGCCAGGTCCTTCGCCGACGACCTCGCGCGGTACCTCCCGGGAGGATCCGGGGACGCGCCGGCCGACCTCGCGCGCCTCTCCGGCGAGCTCCTCCGCCTCCAGGTGAACGCCGCCGACGTCGAGCGCGCCCGGCGCCGCCCCTCCGACCCCGCCCTCGTCGCCTGGCTCCACCGCCTCAGGGACGCGGCCCACGACGCCGACGACCTCCTCGACGACATCCACTACGGCCGCCTCGCCGACTCCCTCGCCGCCCCACGCCATAAGCTCCGCCGCATCCTCGACTTCTCCCTCTCCATCTGCCGCCGCCTGTTCCGCTCCGACGAGCCCCTCAATCGGCTCCCCTCCGTCCTCGAGAATCTCACCGACGCCTCCGCGGCCTACACAGAGATGGCCCACCGCGGCCTGAAGCTGGACGCGCCCGCCTCTTCGTGGCTTGGCAACGAATCGGCTACCTCTCCGCGGCTTGGTAACTTTAGCTCCGCCCTCCCAGTCGACAGCACCTTCTTTGGCCGCGGCCGCGAGCTCGCTGATCTGCTGGAAAGGTTAGTCGGATGCAATGGCCCTGCTCAACTCGGGAACCAGGGTGTCCCGGTTGTTGCCATTGTTGGCGATGGCGGCATCGGCAAGACGACGCTGGCGCAGATGGCCTTCAATGATGTGAGCATCCAGGCTCACTTCGATCTCCGGATGTGGGTGTGCGTCTCAAGCTGTATGCATGTGATGGAGCTTACTAGGGAGATATTGCAGCTGGCCAAAGAGGGGAAGGACTATCGTGGTGTACTCAATTTTAATTATCTGCAGGAGTCGCTGGTTTCTGCCGTTGCAGGGAAGAGGTTCTTGCTCATCCTTGATGATGTTTGGAATGACAACGGGAGTGAGCTTTGGCAGAACGTAGACCAGGGGAAAGCTTTACTATCACCTCTGCAGAATGGTCAGCAAGGTAGCAGAATAGTCGTGACTACACGCACGAAGATGGTGGCTGACATGCTAGGTGTAAGGATCCCAATGATGTTGGTTGGATTGGGTGCCGAAGAGCATTGGTTGTTGCTCAAGAAGCACGCGTTGGTTTGTGAGGAGAGTTCTGGATATTCTCAGTTGAAGGAGATTGGGAGAAAGATTGCTTTGAAGCTAAGAGGATCTCCTCTCGCAGCTAAAGTTATTGGCGGGACGCTTAGTGGTACTCGAAGGGCAAGGGATTGGAACAGTATCTTGGAGACAGATATTCATGGTGACATTGTCGCCACACTTTTGTCAAGCTATTACCATCTGCCACCACACTTGCAGTGTTGCTTTGCATATTGCAGTATATTTCCGAAGAACTGGAAGTTTGAGCCAAAGAAACTTGTTAGGATGTGGATATCACAGGGTTTCATTCAGATGGAAAATGGCAGAAGCATGGAGGATTGTGGTAAAGAGTATTTCAAACAACTTTTGTTGAGGTCATTCTTTCAGACTGTCAAGCAAGGAAACAAAAGGCTCTATCTCATGCATGACTTGATTCATGACTTGGCACAAATGGTTTCTGATGGTGATTGTGGGAGGGTCGAAGGTGACATGTCCAAAAACATACTGCCAACCATCAGACACTTGTCAGTTTCAAGTAACTGTTTAGGAAAGATAAAAAATCAAAACTATCTGAAGAGATTAAGGACACTGATTGTGTTTAGAGATCCTTTGATGCCCCCGAGTCCTATCCCAGATGGTTTTCTCGCTGAGATAAAGAATGTGCGCACGTTAGATTTTACCGGATGTGATATATCCAAGTTACCCGAAGCAATTGACGTACTAACTCATCTACGCTACATAGCACTTCCTGATACTATCAAGACCATACCTGAATCTGTGAGCAGATTACTGCATCTTCAGACTTTTGATATTCCAAAGAAGTGCCAGCTTGATGGATTTCCTGAGGGTATGCACCAGTTGACCAGCTTGCGACATCTTGGCATCGAGTCAAAATACATCTCAACAATAAGAGGTATTGGTAGTCTGGTTAACCTTCAAGGTTCTGTTGAGTTCCATGTTAAAAAGGAAAAGGGGCGAACCTTAGAAGAATTGAAGGATATGAGGGATCTTCATGGGCTTCTTAGCATCAAGAATCTGGAAAATGTTCAATGCAAAGAGGAAGCTTGCGAAGCTCAATTGGCAAATAAGCAACATGTGAACATTTTAAAATTTGAATGGAGTGTTGCCAATTTAGATTTTGGTCCCAACATAGATGCTGAAGTATTGAACTGCTTACAACCTCATCCCAATCTGGAAGAACTTCACATTGCAAGGTACAAAGGGGCATCATCGCCGAGGTGGTTGCAGCTGAAAACGTTGTCCCACCTGAAATGCCTGTATCTAGCTAATTGCAGAAGGTGGGAGTGGCTTCCTCCTCTGGGGCAGCTTCCATCTCTGAGGGTGTTGCACCTGAAGGAAATGAATTCTGTTGCTGAAATTGGCCCTTCGTTCTATGGTGGCTTGATGGCATTTCAATCTCTAAAGGATCTTGAATTTGATGACATGCCGAATTTAGTTCGCTGGACAGGAGAAACTGGTAACTCATTTCTCCCTTCCCTGCAAAAGTTGAAGATTTCAAACTGTCCAAAGTTGGATGAAGTGCCCTTGCTTCCTTATACAATAAAAAGAGTGACGGTAGAACGAAGTAAAGTTTCACATCTCAAGTTGTCCCCTCATTGTTCATCTAGATCAAGCAAATTCATGTTGGAAATTTCTTCCACGAGTATTCTGAGTGAAGGGTTCTTATTACATCAGCAACACCTTGAAGCTACCGAGGTTCTAAACATTAGGGGTTGTTGGGGATCAGTGGCTGCCGAAAAATTTAAGTTACTAACATCACTAAGAAAACTACGGTTATGGCAGTGCGACATGGATGATGCAAGGCTTAATTTGTGTTTGCAACACTTAACTGTTCTCGCTTCCTTAGAGATAATTGACTGCAAGAATATCAAATCATTTGTCTTGCCAGTTGGTTCAAGGTATTTTACAACACTTCAACACTTGTGCTTTGAGAATTGCCTGAACCTTTCCTCCTTGGCTACCTTGGAAAGCTCCATTTTCCTGAAAAGTTTGATCATTGAGAGGTGTCCAATGGTCACAGCAGTGTCCCTACCTTCTGAGATGAAGAGAATGACATCTCTTAATAAACTGAGTATATCACACTGCCAAGGGTTTCAGTCATTGCCGAGCAGTATCCCGCCATCCCTGGAATTTCTTCATTTGGTTGGGTGTGACTCGAGGTTGACTGAAGGGTTACTTGAGAGGCAAGGTCCAGAGTGGGAGAAGATTGCCTTTATCTCCCAAATCACAGTATACTAATTGTATGGTTTGTGTTAGTTTGTTGCACGGTATGTTCTCTTACAATACAATGATGTATTGCTTGATCTTTTTGCAGTGTTTTATGATTTTAGTCTTTAAACTAGTCATGAACATATTTATTCTATATGCTAGAGTTAACTAATCAGAGGTCCTTGAGGATCACTCTGATAACCCTTGATATCTTTATGGTTAGGAGCTTTAAGTGGTGGCCACTGTAAAAAATAAATATATTTAGTGTTCCACACACTAGCGTATCGTCCTGTGTTTACTTCGAATCTTTACTGTCTAGTGCACATCTTTGTTATTCTATTCTTTTATTTTGCACTAATTTAGTTGCCGACTAGGATTACTGTCTTGGGGTAGTTTGCTTGTAATTAGGGTCCACTAGCTGGTAGGATTGTTGTTTTACCTCCGTGAGGATTTATTGTCTTGCAACAGATTAGTACATATTGACAGCAAGTCGCTGATGAAATTACTTAACTGGTAAGACTCAGGCAATAACAAGAGCTAGTAACTTTTGGCATCGCAGTGTTGTGCCTTCAACAAAAGCTAGGTAGCACCAATTATAGTATGCCCCAGTTTATCCCCGTCTTTGGTCTTCGATAGCTGCTGTGTTAGTTTGATGACCAAAAACTAAGAAAAGTCACTGCTTCTGCAGAAGTCCCTCTTGGTTCCATTTTTCATTCAACTACATCCCATCTCTAGCTTCCATTACATTGGTAGCAGAATAGTATGATAATAGTTGCATTGAGGGGGAAATTTGAATTTGTCATTTTTTTGGTTCCATTTGGCAATGCAATTGGTTAAAATGTTACTTAAGTATTTCATACCTTGGTTCATGGTTTATCACCATCATCAATTTTTATTTTTAGGATTTGGATTCTGGACCATGGTGTTCCTCATAGTTCATCTTCTGCTCACCTCTGCTAGGTTTCTGCCGATAGTTTGTGTGTCGTTATGGAGCCAATATCTGGATTTCATACATGAAGCTAGCACTCTACGTACACTTGAAAGCATACCTACAAATAGAATTGGAATGTCTTGATGAGATTCTTGGGAACTCCAAAGCTTTGTGAAGAAGCAACCACTATCTACTGGCCAATGCAAATGCGGTTGATCATTCGAAGGCATGGCCTACTTATGTACCGCAAGCTAAATCCGCTGGAACTTATGGAGTAGAAGCTCTTGTGGTCATAGTTTAAAAACCTAATTTGACTGCATTGCTTGCCAGCATATGGAGTCTCCATCTGTCACTTCACTTACCCATGAAGTTGCTTTGCTTTGCTTTGGCATTTCAGTTAATCTCTAAGATGTATGACTCTCGGAAGGTATAATCCCAGAAAGGTGAAGATCAAGTGTTAATGCAAGTGTTTCAAGAGAGAGCATACCACAGGTTTTGTGAGACACTAACTAGTTACTGCAATGTAAATGCTGCCATATGAACAGGATAAATGGATTAGTGCTCCCTGTAAATTGTGTAGTTGTTTCCGATAGTAAACATCAACACCATACATATAAATGGTTGAAATTGAAATAATGTGTATGTTGTACATAAATTGCTGGCATACTACAAGTTGTACTGAAATCCTTGTTTCCTCATTATCGTGTGCCATATAGTAGGAGTTGCCATTCTTTACTTGACATGAGACGTTTTTGTAATGTGGGCCTTCACCAAAATATTTGTCCATTTCAGGACCATAAGGTGTGATTCAACTCCATTGGGGGAGTGAAATAGGGGAATCACGGGGAAAGAATCAGGGGTATCTTTTTGTTTTGTGGGAAAGAATTAGGGGTATCTGGTTGCCATATAAATCAAATTTGTACTTAATTGTACTTTTTCCGTTCCAAACTACTCCCTCCATTCCAAATTACTTGTCGTGGTTTTAATTCAAATTTTTTACTGTTAGTTTTATATGAATATGGTGTGTAAAGGAGTCGGGAAATATTATGAAACCTATGCACGACAAACCTAATGAGTACAATTTCAACATAACCAACTAAAATTGTGTTACTAATTATTACTTTTCAAAGATAGAGAAGTTTGACTGCACATCTAAAGCATCATCCATTTTGGAATGGAGCTTGTAGCAACTAAAAGTGTGTGTGAATACGCCGTTCTGTCTGTGTTAACAAGGATGATCATTGTACCCGACGTACAGAACTAGACAGATATGATGCGTTGAGCATCAGAACTTTGGTTTTACCTCTCCTTATTGTCCCATTCAGATTAGGAAATTTCCTTGAAGCTGACAGAAACTTGCCCTACACTCCTTCATAGAATCATTCCTTCAAAATCAGAATATGCTGTCCAGATAAGCCCATTGTGGTTTGGAGTTATTCTTTGTTTCCTAGCGGCCTAAGAGAAACTTAACTCCATCTTTAAAACAATAATCTACCATTAACAGAGGGCATTGCGCATCTGTGCAGACAATAAACCACAGAACACAGACCATCTGGGGATTCTAAGTACAGGTGGAGCTAACATGTGCATGAATGTTGTTAATTAATGCACTAAAGGAAATAAATGACAGCAGCGCTCATGGATCTGGCAACTGTACCTCGACCTGCAAGTGAGAAGGTACACCTGGCAGTGGGGGATGATGTTACGCAGTGTCGGCTTACTCTCCGATGGGCTTTGCACTTCATCCCACCACATATGTTGTTAGTTCTTGTCCACATCCACAGGCCAACTACCCCAAGTAAGAATTCTCTTTTTTGTCTGCTTCTAGTTTGTCTGATGTTATGTAACCCCTTGATTCTAATGAATCACAAGTTGTCATGCTGCTTGGAGAAAATTTACAGATATTTTTCACCTCTTAACATTTTGTAGCTGTTTGTTTCAGCTGTATTGGGAGCTTCAGTGGCAGCAAGCAAGTTGACAGAAGATCATGTTAGCGCGCACAGGATAAGTGAGAAAAACGTGATTGAGAAGAACTTAAAGGAGTGCTTGCAAATGTGTAAGGTGAATGCTGAAACTGAAATGATTAGTCCGTGGCTGTGTTCTTTCATATACAATGCATTTTTTTTAAGGAAAGAGCAGGGCACTGATATTGCGCATTTCTTCTAGGTCCAAGCAGAGATACTCATAATTGACAAAGATGATGTGATCGCTGGACTTGGGGAGGCAGTCAAAGACCAGAAGGTTACTACACTCGTTATGGGTGTCAAAAGAAGGTATATTACTACTTACATATGTTTCCTGGGTGCTGGTAGCAGCCTGGCGCAGTATTATATCGCCCCAACTTTCTAATGTATTTCATGTGACCTCTGGGTTTTGATATAGAAAACATGGCTGGAAGAGCAAGACAGCAGATGCTTTGGAAAAACAAGCCGACTGTTTGTGCAATATTCTGTATCTTCATGAGGGAGTTCTCGTTGCCAGCAGGTACTGAACAAATCCTTAATCAACCTTGCATGTTCTTTTGGGGTTTATATTTTAGACCATGAAGAGGAACTGCATGTCAATGCATTAAGATAGTAAACGAGTCGGAACAACCAAGAATGGCCAAGCACTCAAAGGAACGATACGACTAAAGAAATAGAAACTGTACCGAAATAAAATAAAAACTGTACAAGGCTAAGCCAAAACTCGCAACAGACCCTTTGCTCCCACCATGTACCAGAGCTTGTATTCATCCTTGTCTCTGTCGATGAGCTGCTCTACCAACATGGGCTCATTGTTGAAAACCCTGTTGTTACAGTCCTTCCAGATGAACCAAGGCACCAAAATAGTCGTCGTGTCGAAGCCCCTCCTGCTCATTTTGGTGAAGGCCTGACGTGCAATGCAGAAGACCAAGCCAGGTCAAAACACCGTGGTAGATGATACTGCTAGGTGGGAGGTTAGAACACAGTTGAACTGTTAGGCATCTATGAAAATCGACAAAACAAACTCACCCCCTTCCCTTTTGGTACCACTTCAAGCTTTTATAAATTTCCCTTGCCGGCATATATCCTGCCTATTAATAGAAAAAAAAACTAAGTGCAGTTCCAGTAATCAATCACAAAATGATAAGTTTTTTTAATACATAAAAGGAGACACAAGCATTCATTTGAAGTCCATTGTTTTATCACGTGGCATTTTTTTCCAGCATATCCCCTTTTCTCGGTTTTAAGGGAACATGATTGACTGTACTTTTTTTTCCTGCCAGAGTAAACGATTTTATTACAGTTCCCTAATAAAACATAAAATTTATTGTTACCCTGACATGACAATCTTGCTAGCTTCTATGATCTGTTCATCAACATTTATCTTAGCCTCTCGTTTATTTACAGGCATCAGCACACAGATAGGAAAATTGGCATGCCTTCTTTGGTAGGTTGCCACTTCTCAGGCAGTAATAGTAACACCACGAAATCCTCTTCTTTCTTCAACTCTCGAAGCACCGCCGACACCTTTGACACGGAGCATCTTGATGATCCTTCCTTAGTGATGAATTCAACCTATATATACCATGATTGTAGGTTCAACACTATAATTGGTCTCAAGTCATTTGACACTTTTAAGGAGCTAGTAAAGCAGCAAATTTTAGCTGAGCACTCAAGGGACTTGTACCAGGCATTCAACATCAAATACTGTGATATCTTCACTGGGTGCCAGTTAATTGGTGGCTTTGACTCACTCATTGGAGTAGATCCCCAACATTTAGGGGAGGAACATTGGAAATCCATCAAGAGCTGGCCTGCAGTGTTGGAGTATATTGTCAGTGTTCTCAAGACATTGCAGATGCAGCTCCTCATGCAGAATCATCGTGCACGCAACGGATTTACACATGATGACCTTTCAGAAGCAGTGAAAAAACCTATTAAGCGTCTGTTCACTGTTGCTTCAATTGTATCTGACCATGAGGTGCGGAAGTCACCAGAGAAGCTATTCTGTGTACTGAACATGCACACAGCACTCATAGATGCTGCCCCCACTCTCAGGAAAGTCTTCTCTACAAAATCCATCAGAGATGTTCTTCAAGAACTGGAGGACTCTGTAAGGGGAATACTTAAAGAACTTAAAGGCTTAATTCATACATACAACTCACCAAAAGTAGTGCAGGATGGAGATATCCTGCCGATATGTGGGTACCTCATGAGATACATCATGCTCCTAGTGAAGCATAAAGGTTCACTTGATAGGATTCTATCTCATGATTACACTGACAGTCTGTTGAAAGTTGAGGGAATGAGTTTGACAAGTGGTCTAGTGTCTGGGCTCATTACTGATCTAGAATCAGTAATTGATAAACATTCAAAGCAATGTGCTGCTTCTAAAGGACTCCAGTTCATATTCTTGATGAACAACATACATTTCATACTTCAAGAAGTCAAGCAATCAGACGTACAGCTGACTGTAAAAGCCAAGTGGTTTGAGAAACGCCGATCCTTGATCAAGGGGTACATAAAGAGTTACCTATCTGCATCATGGGGACCTGTTACGTCCACCTTGGAGGTTGCAAAAAGCATGCCTCCCACTAAAAAGGCAAGGATAAACTTGCTCAACTTCTGGTACACGGCTCCGCCAATGACTCCCTTGCAGAGTTTTGCTTCGTCTTTCAATGAAGCTTGCAGTAGCCAGATTTGCTTGAAGGTACCTAGTCCAACTCTTCGAGATGAGCTTCGTGTAAAGATCCTTGAGTTTGTTAGTCGAGCGTACCATGGACACTTGGCAAGTCAGAGACAGTCTGCAGAACAAAATGCGAGGGAATTTGAATCGGAGTGGAAAACCAAAATTAGTGAATTGTTTGAAGGATGAAGTAGCAGTTTAATTTCTGTCTGTGAGCGGAAGTGGATGAAGACCACAGTGCAAGTAGAGGCTTTGTATATTGTACCTATGTTGCTGCCCCTTGTGTTTGTCCCTGTATAATTAAAGACATATTTTTGCTATGGAGGTGCTATTTATATCTTTAACGTACATACTTAAGAACTTATATCTGTGTGACACGAATAAGGTTTCAGTCTTGGGACTTCGGGATGTCAAAATAGAAATGCCGTCTCCCCTATATATTTGCTTCACACTTCCATCCAATCATCCACTAGTAAATGCATCGAGGCATGGTATCTTCATTCGTCTTTACTTTGTTACTGTATTAATCATACGATGAACACAACTTTGCTGCCTCATGTGCTATGTTGGCTCTTCTTGTACTTTCTTGCTTGGAGCTATTTCCTAAAGACATCCTTTCCTGTTATCTTTATGAAATATATGTCATTCCCTCCTGAATAAGAATGTGACAGCGAAAACGATGGAGATGAACAAGCAGACAAGGCCAGCTACCAATAACCGCTACAACAATTTGTTTGCGGACCATATTTCTTTCAGGTGAATTTGCTGCCATATTCTTCTGGAAGGAGCGGGGAGTGTGTGCCGCTCCAGGCAACAAAACACAAAGAAACGTTCTCGGTACTTTCTGAGTGGGGGCATTCCAAGATCGAGACCAAGGATAGGGGAGCCGGTGCTTCTTCGAGAAGACAAAGACAGACAAGGTACTAGCTTCCTGGCAACATGTAACACATTGTTTTTACAGCACGCGACATAGTTTTAACAGTCAACCCGACATAGTTTTTACAGTCAACCCGATTTTTCCTAGGTATGTCGTTCTCTTCTATCAGCTTTTACTAAGCAAATTTTTACATGTTGATACTATGAGATGCTAGAATTCGTTTGCAACAAGACACGCCAATTAACCAACCAATAATCTTCCGATATACTTATAAATCTAGTGTCCTCTCTTCCTTTTTTAAGTATATATTGGTTGTGTGATTGCATCTGAAGACTCGAGGCAGATGATACCTCCACCAGTCTCTCCCCAGGTACAGAATCATTCCATCTGTAGAAGGAATCATCTGGGAGCGTTATCTTCGATAAAAACTAGGAAGGGCCAGGTGATGGTTATCGTCCAAGATGATGCATGCGGCAACCACATTAATTCCAGCCTGCAGATGGGAATGTGTTCCGGCGACAGGTGATGTCAGGCAATGCACATTTGATGATGCACTACATTGTTTGAGAACTGCCAATCACGTTATCTTCGATTGGTAACACTGAACCTGGCTTGGCTTTTACAGTCAGATACCAGGTTCAGTGTTACCTTCGATTGGTGCTTTCAAGGAGCTAGCGGCCGACCAATCACAAGAACCGAACAAGGCACTGACTTTGTACTAAATGTATTGAGATATTGACTAGGTGTTGGATCATACTCCTAGGTGGTATTGACACGGCTGCTGGTGTAGACTACAGTTCTTTTGAGATGGAAGTCCGTCTGTCCAAAGCTGGCCTGCAGCATCGGAGACTCGGAGTGTATCGTCACAGATCTCGAAGCGACAATTTTGCAACACAGTGAGGATCATGTCACCGAGGTTCTCAGTACGGCGCAGATGCAATTGCCTGAGCAGACAAGCCATGCTTGCAGTGTGTTTCAGAGGCAGCAAAAGGAAACCTCAGAAACTGCTCAGTATCAACCGGGAAGCTCTTCTGCATACTGAACATGTACAGTGTAATTTGCAGCGCCACCACTGCTCTCTCACGGGATCGAGGGAGCGGTCTCAGCACGGAAGGATTCTGCAAAGGAAAAGGAATGCCGCACGAACTCAAAGTCCAGATTTGCCCGAACACCTCTCCTTTTTTTTTTTTTGCGAAATAGCCGAACACCTCTCCTGACTCACTGGTCACACTTTGAACATCTTTTGTATGTTTTACATTGTATAATTTTTATTATATGTCACAAACATTTTTTTGAAACACGCGAACATTTTTTGAAATGTAATGCATATTTTGTTGAATGGTACGCATTTTTTTTAATTATGTGAACATTTATAACATTTTAAAAAATGTACTTGACCCCAATAACCGTTAGAGCTCGGCGGTTAGGCCTGCCAGCTCGAGCTGGAACTTTTCCATGTCGTCCTTGGGCAGGCAGATGGGCACCACGGTGCCCTCCTTCCCATTGCCGTTCTTCGACCCCAAGAAGTAATTGGCAATGCCGGGGACCGGCCCTTCGCCTCCCCATTGCGGGTTTTTACGTTCGCGTTCCGTATGCAACGCGAATCCAAGCCTGTCATCATGCATGTTGTCCAATCAATTAGGCCCAACGTTATGTTAGCCATGCACCAGCCACGGGCTAGTAGATTCGTTTCTCTAGCTAGGTTCTGTGCATTCTCTATGCACTTTTCCCTTTAGTGGCAGGCCAGCCTCATAATTATATATGGCGTGAATAATTAACGTTGCTAGTTACTTCTTTTTGCAGGATAATGCCACTAGTTATTGTGGGATTATTACATGTTAACCCACAACTTTACTAAAAAATTCACGCGCGTGCAATTTTTATGAAGGCTCTGTCGGACTTTATGAAGGATGTGCCTGAACTTTGCCATAAAAATCAGAAGGACTTTTGAAACAACCAATAAAAATGAAAAGTTCTTTGAGTTTTGGCGACAAAGTTTCAAAAATAAGGTTAAAACATTTCTCTACCTCTTTTTCAAAAATTGTGAGCTATGCCAGAGTTTTCCAAAAGTTCTTCTATTTGTCATGGCAAAGTTCAGATACCAGTTTAACAAAGTTAGGTTCTATTTTTTTTATTGGATAAAGTTTGGTTCTATTTAAAACTATTTAAAGAACATTCGTTGAGAACAATTTCAATAACATGATATCTTAATTTTGTGATGCTTAAATTACTTCCAACAACATAAACTAAAGAGATAATCGTAGGAATTAATTCCACAGCCAGAGGGGTAAAGTGAATCTAGCAATAACGTCACCTACTACTGGACAAGACTAGACCGGGACATAGCGAGGCTCTTCTTCGTTTTCTCACACGCATCATGGATAAATTTGGCCGGTAAAGATACACGCTGTGAACGGAACGCGAATGTAAATGCCTTTTCCCACAACTTCCCCCACCCGAAGTCCACGCCCTTGAACCCAGCGTGGCTCACGTCCATGACACGATGTACGTCTGCGACAGCGCGAACAGCGGCCGCCCGGTGAGCACCATCAGGTTCTCCACCGACAACAGGTAGTCGTACGTCACCGCCGCCTTGGCCTTCTTCACCAGCTCGAGCGCGTGCCTGAGCCCCCCGCCGCAGAGCTCCCCGGTGGTGGTCGCCGCGGCCGAGTACGCGAACGCCCGTAGAAGCCTTCCGGGGGAGGGGTGCTGGCGTGACCGCGAAAGACCGAAAGTTGATGATGAAAGACAAGCGCACCTCCTCGTCGGCCGCGTAACCGACAGTGGCATGATGCCCAGTGGCACGATGCCCAAATATGCAGCCTCCACACTTGAGCCTCGCCACCTGCATGTAACGATATTAACAGATCGAGACTTCGTTGTGTCTCAGTCGATGCTATATTCTTTTGATCTCGCATCGAGATTCGTACAAATCAATTTTTTTTCAGTTTTTTTCTTTTATATACTATGTCATTTCTTTTATATACTACTATGTCATTTGATTGAGATTTGGTTAAATCTCAGTCGAGTGGGATCTAGCCACAACCGAAAATAAATTGTAGCTAGCTACGACTTTATATAGCTTCTGACACGTGCCACTGCCCGTTGACGCTAGTAGTTCAGACTTTAGACGATCACATATTTTTTCTAGAGAAAAACGATCACAGATTCACGGTGCGCACCTGAAAATAGAGCAAGGGGCGGGCTCTACGCCTGCCTTGGAGATGCCCTCCAAGACGAACTGCTGGAAGCAAGGGAATGGGGGGCTTTGGAGGTCGCTGAAGTCGTCCGCCGTGAGGTCGGCGTCTGCCTCCGCGAACAAGGCGCCCTGTTCGCCGCAGTCCACGACGAGCTTCCTCCCGGCCTCCACGCGCAGACGGCCATCGAGCGGGTAGCCGGGTACTAGTGGACAACGGCCCTGGCCAGCGCCTCCCGCACGACCCTGGCGGGATCCTGCCCCTGCCTGGACAGGTTGCCGCGGTACAGGTGGATGCCCGAGCTGTAGAACCGCATGCCCTCCGCGTCGTCGATGTCCGACAGCGGCTTCACCTCCCGCGGCGTCGGCGCCGATGGCACCACCAGCACCGGCTCGCCTCGACGCACCGCGAATGCCGGCAGTGACAACGCCATGAACGATCGATACCAAATCCAAGACGTGAAGAAAAATAAAATGCAAGTTGTAGAAACGTACGCTATGGGGTGCATGCAGTGGAATGTACGTGCAAAGTTTGGGTACATTTTATAAGGCCGGAATGAACCTGGGGTTGGTGCCAAATGCCAAATACGGAAGGGCAGCATGTGTATGGAGAGCCAGTGGTGGCTAGCAAGGTCAGTATAGCTCAAATGTATTTTCCACGCAGCAGCACTACTCCTGATCCCCCTTTTCGAAAAAAAAGCACTACTCCTGATCATGATCATGTGCCCTGAACTCCTGATCATGTCCCAATGGTCAAAGTATCCAAGAAAACGGCGCCATGTGGTGCCGTTTGTTTTCTTTCTCTATACGTTGCGTTTATTAGCCGGTGCATGCCGAGTCGTAGAAATGACACGCACAATTATTAGCCGGTGCCCAGCCTGGCAGCCTGCCACAATTTTGTTACGAGTATCTTTTTCTTGAGATGTTTGTTGCGATTACTTGAGATGCGAGATGGTTAGTTTTTTTTTCGCCGGTCGACTACGAGGCGCATGTGACAATCTTGAGATGTGATGTTGGCTCAGTATCTTGGAGATGTTCAGAGATAGGATACAGGAGTAAGCGTAGGTGCGTGTATGTAGACTTTTACCATTGTCTTGTGTTGAAAAAATGACAGGG